GCCGTGCAGTAGTAACGAACCACATTCCCACCACTTCCCGGTTCATCCATGTTATAAAATGTGTCAAATCTCAACAAGCGACGCTCTCTACTAGCAACAGTCTGCCGAGTCTTGTTTGACTATGAAAGCCGCCCTATTGGCTTGTTTGTTTACACCGGAAACGGAACTATGTCATTAATTGTTGCCAGTCGTTTTCCCACCAGCAGGGGTCTCCGTTGCACAAGGAAAAAGTTATAGGTGTGTATTACATTTTTAAAATTAGAATACAAATTTAACGCCACAAACTTGAGTTGTCATATATCTGTGAGTTTATCTGCACATGTGGTCTGTGTATGTACACACATGAAGAATTTGACCTTTGTTCCTTACATTTATGGCATTGTTTCTATGATGACGGATATGCTACTCAGTGTCTTTTCCTCCCTGGTTTTAAATCAGATGTCACTCTCAACATAAATACCAGCTACAGCAGCCCAGCTGTTTTAGCTGAGGAAACAAAGATACATTTGCTCATTTTGTGTAAAATATTGTGAAGATGTTAAGTTACATTAGGCAGGCAGCTGCCCACATTACACTGTGACAATCACCAGTTATCTATTTTGAAAGCCTCAGCTAGAAAAAATGCAAAATGGTTTGTAAGGTTGGCCACAGGTCTGTATGTAAACGGGAGTTAGAGGATTGCTTCATATTTTGCTATGTATAACGTTAGTGTTTCTGAAAATCCCCCCTGAAAATCTTTATTAACAAAGTAAACTAAAAATAGACATTATTATATTTTATAGTTTTAAAATTGGATGACAAGTGACTTGAACATAATATGAAATAATGTCTTTTTAGTATGGCCACAGTAAATCCATTGATAGCTTTACTAATCTGAAAGTTACCTATATTTTTATTTTTGTAGTTTTCCTTTTGTATATAGACAGGCTAATGCATTGCCGATTCTCTGATGTGAAGCAAGGCAGAAGAATGTACTCATAAAATGAACAGAATCATAAGAATATAACTCTAAGAGCACTGCAAATGTAAGAAAAATATGCTGAAATCAAATGGTATATTATTTGAAACCTATATGAGACATTGGCACATCCAGTTTTTTAAATGTATTTTTTCCCAATTGTCCAAATTAGTCTGTGATTGGCCTTAGTGCCCCACAAATCAAATTTATATACAACTAAATATGACTCGCAAATATGATTTAAATGGACGATTCAGGAATTTGCCGAGTCCTGAATTTGATGCCAGTGAACCCATTAGCGGTTGGTTTTAAAAAAGCCCCAAAAAGCCCCTATGAGCAAGCACTTGGCAACAGTGAGGAGGAAAAACTCCCTTTTAATAAGGAGGAAACCTCCGACAGAACCAAGCTCAGGAAGGGGCGGCCATCTGTCGCGACCGAGTGGGGTTAAAATGTTCACTGACAACTGAGGTGTATGCAAATATGATTTTTAGGACATGAAGTTGAGGCCAATTAGGTTTAAAAAAAAGCCAAAGCAGCCAGTTCTTCGTCTTTGGTTTTATCTCTAGCAGGCTCTTAACTTCAGGACTCAACTTTTGTCCGGGGTGCAGCCTGGACTGTCTAGAGACAGACCAGACCACCTTCACAAACCAGACACTTTTTATTTATTTTTTACAATCTCAGAAGGAGAGAGGCACTGAGGCACGCTCTCGCTGTGCCCCCCTTCTTCTGACAGGAACATGAATGCTGCCTGAGTGGACATACACAACTCACAAGTTCCTGGCTCTCTCAGCTCCTCTGCAGAGGGTTTCCCTTTAGATGGACTCAAAATGCAGAGTCAGTATTTTGAGCCATACACTTCCATACACTTTCAATTTTACCTTTCTTCCACATGAGTTTGGGCATTCACATTACTTACACGCACCTCTGCCGCAGTACATTACCTGGAGGCGGCTGTGAGCAGGTGTCCACTGAGAGTTGGGAGGAAAACTAATAAAATCCTGCAGCAGAAGTAAGTGGTTCCATTCAATTGTCTCTATTTTTCTTATCTAGGAGATACAGAGGGAGCCTCTTTCCAAATGCTTCGACACTTACTCTAAATCCCTTTCTTATCTGTGTTTCTCTGCGTGCCTTGCGACATTCTGTCTTTTTAATCTTCCTTTTTTTCCTGTGACATTTTAATGACCCCAACATATTTAATCCCTTTATTGGATGAACAGCACTGTGCCTGCTGACTTGTGCTATAAAACCCTCAAATGTTGGCAAGCGGGTGTAACCTATCACGGTGTGATGCATGCTCACGACAAAGTGTCAAATTATGGTGAGTAAATGTGTTTGCATGACAACAGTGAGGACGGGAATAACTTTTGATTGATGTAATATTACTTAAGGCGGCAGTGTTTATTCTACATGAATTCATTAAGTGTGATTTACCTACAGTTTTTTTCTTGTATGCATATTAAACAAAATCGTATCACATACATAGAAAGATTTGGGAAGTAAATGTTTGCAGTTGCTGTTGCTAAAGCCACTTCATTAAATCATAAAAGCACATCAAAGTGCTTTAGATCTAAACTTTTGTGGGCTGCAGGATGGAGATTAGAGCGCCTTTGCTCAATGACACCTTCACTTAAAGTTCAAGATGGATTTACTGGGTTTAACAAGACACCCTCTCCCCCTTTTCTTTACTGCACTCCTTCTCTTTAAAGTTTAGCATGTGCCTACTTTAATCAGCCCAAACTAGGGGATGCCATGTAGAAAGGAGACATTAATACTCTTTTCAAAAGCCATCATTTGCAATAATTAGCCTCGCAGCTGCTAAGTGACTATAACAGCTTCACAATATGGATGCAGCCTGCTACACCAGTCAAAGCATGATGTATTACTGTACATTAAACTTGTTTTTATTCTCCTCCACACTCCATAAATGATGGCAGGAAGGAAAGAGTGAGGAAGAAGGAGGGAGGCAGATGAAGGAAGAAAAAGGGGCAGAAAATGACAGATGGAAGGAGAAAGAGGGTGAAACTGTTAAATGGGAGAAAGAAATGGGAAAATGATGCACGCAGGAATCCCATGTGCTTAGATATGCCATACAAAATGAAAGCTTTTTATTACAGCTCTATAATGCCAGCCTTGTTAATGGATTCTTGAACACAGTACATTATAGGAGGAGAATAATAAAAAGTGCAGCTACAATTGCAAATAAGCACAGAATTACAGTGTTAAATTTCCAGAGACAGAAATATGATCAGAGCATCTCTATGGTGATACATGCTGTCATCTGCTGTGCACTAAACATATTTTATGTTTC